CCCCTGACCCAATAATCATTGATTAGTGCGACCCGCTGATTCAATTTGAGAGCAGATGGGGTCAAAGGGCCAATCAATCAGAACATGAAAAAAGCAGAGGCTGGGAAAAAATGAACCATGATGCGAGTGATTAGGAGCGTATTCATGCTCCAATACTGGGTTTATTTAAAACTAAACCAGCTACACAGTTACTCATTCCGAACACGATTTTCTTTCTAGCCGACAGATCAAGTGACTCAGTGCACGGCCCAAAAGAGGAATGGAAAAGGATCAATCACTTTACTGGCCACCTGCATGTATAACAGTGCTGTATGGAAAAAATACTAACATTTTGTTTACATTTCTACACACTGTGATACACCTGGTGGTAAAATGTTAAAAAGCACCAACAAAGTGACACGGTTAAAGAGTGTTTTGACCAGTGGGTGCAGAATGACTGGCCAAAGCCCACCCACTTTCATCACTGGCCAGTGTAAGACGTTTTGTTCATTTAACATTTTATTCTTTTCAGCGGTCGTAATTTGAACAGCATATGGTTTGGTCAGTGGGGCACTCACTGCTTGACCTCAAATTCTGCTTATGAGCCCAGTCATTGGCTGCCTAACACTTTCCTTAATGGGCTCCGTACTGAAACACCTGCATTAATTGGGGCGTGTTTCATGTACATGCTATGTAAATGAGATGCTGGTGGGTTGGCGCTTGATTTCATGCACTTAGGTTGATTCCTCATTTGCTCTCAAATCTCCGCTTGTTTCAACATCTGCACCAATGTTCATTAATCAGATCCAGAGTAGTTTGCACATCATTAAATGCAGGCCGATCTGCGCTCTTTTCGAACACATCTTTGATTCATTTTTTTGATTGATTAATAAGGGCCACTGTAATTGGGTAGAGGGCTCATTTGCATATTGCAGCCTTCAGTGTCAGAACTGCAAAGACCAACACTGCAATAATTGTGCTTCCCTATAATGATCCCTCAGCCTACACTGTAAAAATAGTTAGATCAACCTAATAAAATGACTTCAGTACAGTAACAAGCAATGAAACTAATTTAATTCGACTTGAATAAAATACTATGACTGAAATAATGATTCATTCAAAGCATTTGAGTTGACTGGAACTAGTTACATGCTGCCATATTAAGCTGTATTTTCAGGTTGAACTGACAAACCATTTTTACCAGCGTACAGATCAGGTGTGTGTCCCAAATACAGACGACAATCACTTTAATGGCCAAATGCCTGTATACATACAATACAGACAAAATACCTCTTATCCTTCTGCTTTATCAGTACTGCAAAGGTCAATATCGTGATAACAATTAGCAAGCCATATATACTGCAGCCCTATCAGCCCTATCCTATAGCCCCCAGCCCTATAGCCCTGTGATGTCCTGCATTACGGACCGGGTATAGTTTAACGGCTAAGATTCGGCGGTCATTTCTGAGAGGCATTAACAGCTCACACTCCGACAGTTAACCACTCAGTGCAGCAGGGCCGAGGTCAACAGCTCTCTACGCAATCAAAGGACACAAACCCACACAGACGCGTACACGCACACAGAAAGATATTATATCCGCCGTACGGGAACCAATATTGAGCGAGAAAAACAGCAGAGCGGACAAGTCACACTGGAAACAAAACATACGCTGACAGCCAATTAGAGAGAAAGCATGTTGCTCCAACCGCTCTCGGCCCCCGGCCTGGTTCGGTCTGTCAGAGACCAAGCTGGTGTGAGTTGAATCACTGTTTTCAGTAATACATAAATAACATAAAGCCATTTTAGATACAAGTATAAAATGACTAAAGGTGAAGTCCACCAATTTTTCTAAATTTCTGAATAAATAATGGTTAGACATAAAAGTCATTCGGAGTGGTTTAATGTGGAATGCTCTGTTCCAGAGAAGTGGTAGTTATAGGAACCAGACGTCTGAAGAATTTAGTACCTCTGAAAGCTCTCTCACACAAAGTTATGAAAATGGGTATGAAAAATGTACATTTTTAAACATATTAATGGTGGAGGGGTACATGATTTTCCACTATTTTACCATCATCAACTTTACATATAAAACTCAGAATAAACTGGTAATTAAAATGGCTATATTTGTGTTACATCATGATTTTAGTTGCTACGTTTCTCAACACTGAACCATTTCAACACAAACCACTCTGAATGATCTCAACCATGGAATCGTGCACAAATAAAAAAAAAATCCCCTTTAAAATGATGCCATTGCTAAATAAAGGAAGCAGTAAAAGGTTGCGCCCAGAATGATGAACAGGGCTGCGGATTCTAAAACGACTGAGAAAGCATAATCACATCATAAATGAAGTTATAATACAATCAATATCCAAAACGACTCATATTTGAAAAGCACTGGTCAAATCTCAAGGCAGATAACATCGCAAGAAACATATTATAACCCACATAACTGTTAGTTCTATGATGTGTTGCTGTTTCTGTGGTATTTCATTTATTTTATTGTTTTGTTTTATGTATTATGCCTTGCCCTTCAGCGTTAACAAATGTCCCATTGACTGTCTGAAGCTACTATGAAAATATAATTAGCATACATTATTTATCATTTAAAGTAGCCATATCCAATATTTCCCGTTTTTGTTCTCCAATGTCCACTTATAGCACTAGTGTGGTTTTATGAACCAAAAACAGCCATAATTCATTTTTACATTAACCTCTCTTTAGAAGTAAGCAGGCTGTTTTTGTTACTGATATGTAAATAGGTTCTGTTCTGATTGGCTGTACTGTGAAAGCTGTCCAGACTGAAACACTCCTTACAGCTTCAGGGTGAGTGGGCAGAGCTAAACTGCCATAGGCTGAGTAGCTGTATGTATAGAAATGTGTCGGTTTTTGTGACATCACAAAAACAAATAATTCAAAATGGGCACCTTAGCTTCCAAATAGGGGATGTATTGACTGGGGAGTGAATGGTATATTCTAAAACAGTGTTTACATCACACTCCTATTTCAAAATGTGAGAAAACGTTATTTTACCATGATATGGGCCCTTTAATCGCTTACTGAAGAACATACCAATTGACAAGTGTTTCCAAACTTTTGAATGACAGCTGAAAGTTACAAAACCCACAATGACACCCGGACATCTAGAGCCTTCTCCTCCCTTTCTGAGCCACATTCACGCATTCTCAATGACTGAAGAACGCTCTCGTTTGCAATTTCAAAGCTCCTGTTTCGTTAGATGAGTCTGATCAGCAATCTTATCTCAGCCTTCGCTTCTTTTGAACTTGAAGGAGCACCCCCCCTTTCCTCGTGGATTTGCTTTCTCTGGCATCTCGCAGAGGAATGAGTCTATGAAAAGCAATGAATGAATGAATATATGAATATCTGATCGCCTCCCTCCCTCCGCCTATCTGTCTCCCTCAGCAGTAAATATGTGGTAGCTGCACTTCAGACACATTGTTGTGCATTTAAAAAAACAACAACAGCAACGCAGGGACAGCGATTTCACCTTGAGAAGTCTCCAGGGAAAAGCTAGTCGTGGTAATGATTCATTTTTCTCCCCTCGGTGACACTAAATGTGCCCCGAATCCCAATAACATGAGGTTGGGTTGTACACACTTTAGTGAAAAATGATCCCAGGTGGCAATAAGAGATCTTGTCTGCCCACCTCTGGACGCGTACGGCACAGGATAAGAACGCTTCACGTGGTCGTGCGGACCAAGATTGCTCCACGCTGCGTCACTTACCTTCCATTCATCCAGTGAGATGCATCTGAATGCAACTCATCAGCATTTCCAATGGCCTCAATATCCAAATCCAATCCATTCAATTAGCCGCTAATAGGATTCTTTATTACTAAAATGAATTAGAGTGAAATTAATAATTTAGGGACAGCAGTCAGCCTCACTCGGAGAGCCGCTAACTAATCAATTAGGTTAATAAAAAGAGAGCCACTGCAATGTCCTACACTCATCTCCGTACATCCTCTGATGCATTATGTATGTGCTGTTTTGGAAAGCCAGTGCCTGCTTCCTTGGAAGAACATCCTTGGAAGAACAGACACTGTTAGCTTCCTCTCAGGGTGAATAGAACTGCCTTATAACACTGCAATGCAAGACTGCATTCAGACGAAGGCAAACCAGCCAGAGCCGCTCGATTCGAAACAGTGGCGGTCCTCACACGCTTCAGAGCTTCTCGCCTTGATGAATCGATTCACTGTTTCTGGCCGCTGGACCTGACCGGACTAGACTGGACCGGACCGTCCAGCTGCACGCGTGATGAAAATGAAGGACGCGATCTATGACTAATCGATGAATAATTAGTCATTAGAAGACAGGCATTAATTGCCTGTCACTCATATTAGCGATTATTCACACAGCAAATAATCATAGTACCTTAATTAATTGATGATTTATCAACCAATCACTATGGCACTAACACGAACTGATGACTAATCATATCACTGTGACACTGCTTAAGAGACGATATTAAGATTATAGAGATAGATCATTCTAAGAGTTCATTATCACACAACGATTAATCACTGATCACCTAGAGAGTCGATTAATCGGGTTAATCGATCACTGACACTCACATTAAATAATGAATAATCATGTCATTAAGACGCTGCTTAAGAGATGAGATCCAAGTTACACAGATTGATCATTCTAATAGTTAGTTACCACACCACGATTAATCGGTGCGCCCTAAAACTAACCACATCCTTAAGGGTCGATTAATCAGATTGATCGATCACTATGGCACTCATGTTAACTGATGAATAATCATATTAGTATGACACTACTTCACAGACAAGATCCAGATTATGCAGATCGATCATTCTAAGAGTTCATTATTGCCATAAAACTCCCCACATCCTCGAGAACCGATTAATCGGACTAATTGCCTCCCTTTTTTGCTGGAAACAGCCGCAACACCACAAACAACACAAACACTGCAAGAGGGGGAAAAAAAAGTCGATCAAAAATAAAACAATCGCCAGCGACAGTGATGCACCTACCGAGTGACCGTCGAGATCCAGCGGGGAAAAGCTCGCTCCACAGTCCCGCCGCCTCCTCCGCGCGCGCGCGCCACCGGCGATCCGGGGAGGCTAAAGCCAGTCTATCTGCCCCTGCTTCCAAATGCCACCTCGCGCTCCCGGAGGGTGCTGGGGGGTGATTTCTCCCTCAGTGCCCCCTGAGGGTGTAGGAAAGCGCGTCCGCGTATATCCCGTGCGTCCGTTTGTCTACGCGCGTCCTGGGGCAGATCCGCATCTCTCGCGCGCTCGCTCTCGTGCCATCACGCCTTCCTCTTCTGTCTCCTCTTTACCCCCCTCTTCCTTCCCACCCCCGGAGTCGGTGCACAGCGAGAAAGGAGGGAAAAAAAGAGAGGACAAAGAAAAACACGGTCGACAGTGAAGTAGCTGCTGTTCGTCCTTCTGCGTTTTTAAAGTGCAGGGAGAGCTCGAGCCATCGCTGCTGCTCGCTGACGATAAAAATACAGAAATGCCAGAGCAGCGCGAGCGCAGCGCAGGCTGAGGAACCGAGCGCAGGGTTGCCAGATGTTGCCTCCAGAGACACGCAAAAGTCTCTCGGCGGATTTTGTTGACTTCACGCCGCGTTGTCTTCGCTGTTCATGAATAAAACAGCGGTAGCACTGGTGGCTAAACCGTTTGAGGTCAGGATGAAAAAAATCATAGAAACCTTTAAAAGTTTCTGTAGGTGTCCAATTGTCAGTAACGGTATTTGTGGTTTCCTGATGTGTTTTCTTCAACAGGGAGCTCAGATGGAGCTCCTGGAGACTCCACCTCCAACCCCAAATCGTTAGCACCTGAAGATGATTGAAGGCCTTGATTAGCTAGGACAGGTGGGTTCTGAGTGCTGAGTGGATCTCCAAAAGTAGATTTGGTCCCACCTGATCTGTAGACCTCAAATGGTGGACATGTTCAACTTGTTTAATCTGTTTATTTGCCGTTTAAATGAGTTTGCATTGACACAATGCTAACGTGCGCTAACTCTTCATCTTCACAAATCACACATAACGCTACAAGCACAATATTTGTGTAACATTTACCTCTTTATTTGTGATCACAGCTTGAATTTGTATTAGCATTAGCTTAAACATGCCAGTTCTAACCTCTGGGTGAAAATGTTTGCATGAAAGCAATCAAAAGCGGCTACAGTTAAACTTCTTACGAACGTATGTGGCGTCAGACTCATGTACCACATCTATCGTGGAATCGTGTAATGACCAAATTGAATGAATTTGTTTCAAAAGAGTACAAAAAACATATTTCTGCTGGCGTTTGGCTCTCTGGACTTTGTGCCTCCTGCCCATATGTAGCTTACAAAAAGCCGCAGAAATCCAAAGGTTTACTTTCTGGGCCCAATCTGGCAACCCTGATTTGAAGCACAAGGTGGATTGAGCAGTAACTGCAGCAGCACTCACCACTGAAAGGTCACGAGTGCCCCCTAGCTGCAGTCAGTAGCATTGCTCTGCATTTCTGTCATGTTTAAGAGGCAGACAGTGAATCTTTAATCACTTTAAAATAAGTAGTTCTGCTGATATAGACAGGAGTTGTGATATGAGCCCCTAAATTAAAGTCACTTTTTATTTCCTTAGACTCAGACTCAAAGGATATTGGTGTCTGTCTAAGGAATAGGTAGAATTCTGGAGACCCTCCTTCGTGAAGAGTTGCAGTCATAGTCTACTACACCTGGTCCAGCTAGTTAATGACCTCAGAGGACCAGGACTGGTTAGACCAGGCAAGTTACTCATGGGGAAAAGGGTTGTGAAAGCTGTGTTCATTCCTTGTGAATATTCTTTTGTTTGTTTGTTTTTGATAAGCTAAAATAAAAAACACACAGAAAAGCATAGATTTTAGATACACGCATACTGAAATCGTCCTTAGTAGAGTGGTAATGGTAAAATAAGAAAGGGATGTAACGGAATACAAGTATTGGGAATATGTATTCAGAATACAGAAATTGTCTGGTTTCAGTCTAAGTTAGATTTTGTAAAAGCAGTATTTAGAATACAGTTATGTTATTTTTAAATAACACCTTTAGAATATTTACCTTCTAAATAAATAAAACAAACAGTATTTTAAAGAAATACCACTATTGCTTGTTTATTAACTTTGATCAGTTATTAATCTCAGTGTTACTAAGCTCTGCTAAAGCCTGAGTAGACTGATAAATCAATGTGAACAGTTATTAATCTCAGTGTTACTGAGCTCTGCTAAAGCCTGAGTAGACTGATAAATCTATGTGATGATCAGTTATTAATCTCAGTGTTACTGAGCTCTGCTAAAGCCTGAGTAGACTGATAAATCAATGTGATGATCAGCTATTAATCTCAGTGTTAATGAGCTCCGCTAAAGCCTGAGTAGACTGATAAATCAATGTGATGATCAGCTATTAATCTCAGTGTTAATGAGCTCTTTTAAGGAATAATTAATCTAATAATCTCCTCAGTAGTGGACAATGTTTGCGAGCAATAAGTTTAGCATCAGTGTTGTACCGGACAGTTCGGAGAATTGAGTGAGCAGCAGTGGACTGAAGCAGGCAGTAAGAAAAAAAATGTGAGGTTTCAGTTCTCACTTAAATTAGTGATTCCCAGTTAATTTTAATAGAAGCAATCATTACTAGTTTATTGTCATTGTCCAAACAAAACCTCATATTTCCAAAAAGGTAACTTTACAAGAGAAGGAATTAATATTTAATGGAAATGTCCAGGAAGGTTTTTCTTCAAGGGAACTTTTAGAGGCACTAAAGTCTTCAGACATCAGGTTTTCTTCAGACCTAATAGTGTTGGAATTCCCCTTCCACATAAAAATTATTTATGACAAGTAACGTTGGACTGTTTCTATTGGTTTATTCATCATAAAATTTTATTACAAAGGACAAATTAAAACATTGTCAAAAAATGAAACATTGACAAATGTAGACTCAAGGTTTTGTCTTGACAGCGATGAAATAGTACATTTTGAAAAGTCAAAATTCAATTTTCAAAAGGGCAAATAATATTTTGACATTTGAATTTCTTACAAATGAAAGTTTACTTAGCTAACATTTACATCCAACAATTTAATTCAATTCAAACAATGACCAACATTTTAAAAACTGAAAATTGAATTATCACTTTTGACCAAATTTATTTTAGACAGTAAAGAATGGTCCTTCTATTAAAATAAACTGGGAAAAGCTGTGAATCCTCAATAACGAGCGCTGTAATGTTGTGAATATTAGTCTTATTTTTTAGAATTGTTTGACTTTTATACATAAAATTTCAAAAATCTAATTTCACTGTATACTAGAAGTAATGGCACTTTTGCTTATTCAAATTAAATTTCTGATAAAATTGTGAATTAAAAGCTAAAACAGCTCTAGATACCACAAGAGTGTAAGTGTACCAGGTTTATGGTAAATATATCAGTGACACTTCGAGTTCTGTATTATGTTGTGCAAAAATGTTTGTAACTTTATGCCACTGAATAAATGTTACATAAAAGTAACATTTATGCTGGAAGTGGCTTGATTGGTCAGTCCCAGCAGATACAAACTGTTCACAGTGCTCTGAGTTAACGAGTTGACAAGGACCTTCAGACCGCACCTTGAGATCTGGATGAAGGTAGGAGGATTGGTGGATGGAGTAATCTCTTTTACAGTGATCTCGAGCCTGCCTCCTGGAGATATCTCCCTATAAAGTTTAATTCCAACCCTAATTAGCCATGCCTGCTCCAACTGTTTAATGTGTTCTCAGACGGTCTTTACAAGCTCGATTAGGAGAGCTGTTGTCTTTCGGAGTTTTGGAATAGACTAAACTTGGCAGCACAGTAGATCCCCAGGAGGAAGGTTGTTGACCCGTGCTCTATTGCATATAGTACAAGTAGATAAGAGTAGATTCTTACTGGGAAGAATTGCCATTGCAGACTCTGACAACAATCACAAAAACGAAACATCCTGAAGGGCATTTTCAGGGCTTCTGACTCCACTGCCAGAAGGGCAAAAAAGGTGTAGGACCCAGTAAGATCTCAGTGACCAAAATGGTCATGAATATTCACAATGGTATTGTTTCACAGTAGCACTGTCTCTACACTGAAAAGAAACGGTGTCTTGATTTTACACAATCCAAATGCATCAGTCGGTGAATAAAATGTGTCACATCAACACAATTCTCACCAAAAGCAAACTTGTTTTTGTGCAACTGATTCACACTTTGGTAGCAAAGCACCATTTTTTGTGGTGAACTTAAAGTGAGCTTATCTTGCATCCTCTATAGAGTGAAAGGTGCTAATTCGGCACACACTCAGCAGTTGCACCCACACAGATTTCATCCTTTTAGATGGGGTGAAATATTTCCAAAATGCTGTCACCTCCCTCTACATTGGAGTTTTTCACACTACAGTATATCATTAAAACTGATAACTGTCCCATCCCTACTGTAAAGCAGAAGCAGTACTGGGGTTATTATGCAAGTTTCCTATCAGTAATCCCTCACGGCAAGGGGAGGGTTACTGCATTAGGATCTAAACATGTAAATTTAGAGTTAGTTACAAATTTATTTTATTTTATTTTGTTTCTTTGTGAAGAGTCACATTGTTAGATTCAGCCTGCCAAGTGCTGAGTAGCCACAACAACAATTAGCTGTGGTGCAGCTCAATAGTGGAGCATTTTACACTTGAAACTTAATGTTACCAGTGTAAAGTTGTTGTCACAATTTCTCATTAGGTTAAATATGTTTAATTAGGCCCTGACAAAGTTCTGCAAAGCCATTCTGACGTAGAAACAGTTGAAAGAATGTATTTTGGTTTTGGAAAACGGATCGATTAGTTGCTAAGAACTTCTAATTACACAAATAAAGATCAGAAAGCATACATTTTAAGGCATCATGAAGCATCATGAAGGTGCACACACCATGTCTGATATTTGTCTTCAGTATGCGCTGCCACCTAGCGACTCCCCCAAATGTTTGTCTGCGCACCACAGTGTGGCACTCAGTGTTTTACTATTACTGCATTCAATTAAACCCAAAATGAGACCACAGAAATCAATGGTAGGTAACTTAAAATTTCCAGCAAGAATGGCAGTGAATCCAAAGTCAAATGCTAATGGTTACCTCAGCTAATGTTACCAGCTTATTCTTTTTCTTTGTTGTACATTTTGCTCAAAAGCAGTGATTTAGTGGTGAGTTAGTTTGCTGATACCAGACATGATAAATTCATTAAGTGATGTTGGAAGTTTTATTTGAGCTTGATGGACATTAGCCCTCACTCTGTGATGCCTTCCCTGTGGTATAACTGAGCTTTGTGCTATCTGC